CTATTTCCTCTATTTATTTATAGAAATGCAGTTCTAACACACTCTTAAACTTGAATGGCTTCACGCCTTTGGCAGCTCAGTTCTTCTTTTACCCCAGACATGACAGACTTCAAATGGTGGAAGCATTTCCTAATGCATGGAAGAGATCAGGTGGGCCATGGAGATAAAGACTTGGAATAAGTTGCTCTCATGTTCTTCAAACTTCTAAAAGGAATAGACTTGCAGGTGAGAGAACATCGCCATATTTATCAGATGTATAAACAGCTACACACAATCTCTGGCTTATTATTTTGCTTTCCCAGAATAGTTTCTAAAGGTCTCAATCACAGAGTTTGAAAGGTTAGAATGCACCATACAAGCTTGGCATCAAGCCTTTGCGTTGCCAGCCATTGCTCAAAAATCACAACCTGTCTCACATGCACACTCAGTTCCTACAACTCTTCCAACATCTCTTGCTTTCTCTTCTATTTTTTTGGAAAGAAGAACACTGATGCATGTTTTATGCATGTGGCACAGAGGCACCTTCTCAGTGGTGCCCCCCCACCCCCCGGTTAAGGAATGATCCCACTGAGGGCTGCTTACGACTAACACTGTCATTTTTTTGTGCCAGCATCTGATGGCAAATGTTAGCTGTTTTAACAGATCTCATTTCTATCGAATATGTTTTAATTAAACTTTTAAAAATTTGGTATATTGGAATTTTTCACTGTAATTTACTGGATTTATGAACTGTTCTGAATCACCCAAAGAGCTGCCACTCTTGGCCAGTATAGAAATGAGATTACTACAACAACTACTGCTACTACTAATGTCCCCATTGAGCCTCCTTGATCTCTTGGTAGATATTGATCCTATTATCAAGGATCTATTCTTGAACTAACTGTGTGGGTTGGGACTGGGGGCCAGACGAAACAGTGCTTCCACTTAGACCTGAAAGATCTTTCTCAGAAAGGGGCACTGGGGAACTTCTGTTTAACTCCAAGGCACTTGAGTTGTCGAATCCAGCAAGGTTTGTTCTCATCCCTCAAGCTCTTTAACATCCACATGGAGCCAGTGGGTAAGGCTGCCTGGGATTTCAAGATTTGCACTGGGCTTACATGGACAACTCCCAGCTCTGTTTCTCTCCATTATCAAAATTAGGTGAGGCTGTGGATGTGCTGAACCATTGTCTGGGTTTAATGAACTGGATAAGGACCGATAAAGTGATGTCGAATGTGGACAAGGCGGAGGCCCTATGCTTAGGTGGTTCTCAGTTTTGGGAAACTGGTGGACCACCAGTTCCAGATGGGGCTGCACTCCCCACAAGGAAAAAGTGTACAGCTCGGAGGTGCCCTGGATCCAATATTAAAACTTGAGTTCCAAGTCTCAGTGGCTCGAAGCATCTTCTGTCAGGTTTGGCTGGTTTGTTAGCTGCAGCCTTTCCTGGATAACCTCACTTCAGTGATTCATACTTCAGTAACTTCCAAGGCAGGATTACTACAATGTAACATATCTTCCCTTGAAATCTCTGCGGACCCCTCAACTGTTGGTTGGCGGATTGGGCTTCGGAGAGGGTGAATTGAACCTAGTCCTGAATGGGGTTGCACTCCCTCTTAGGGACAAAGTCCGCAGCTTGGGAGTGCTCCTCGACCCAGAGCTTTCATTGGAAGCTCAGGTGACAGCAGTGGCGAGGAGCGCTTTCCTTCAGCTTCGGCTGATCCATCAGCTGCGCCCCTACCTGGAGTACGACTGCCTGGCGACAGTGACACACGCGTTGGTGACTCCCCGACTTGACTTCTGTAACGCGCTCTACGTGGGGCTACCCTTGAAGACGGTCCGGATACTTCAATTGGTTCAAAATAGAGCTGCCAGGCTGCTGACGGGGACTGGGTGTTACGTTCACATGACTCAAGTCCTCCGTCAGCTTCATTGGCTTCCCATTGAAGTCCGGGCCCAATTCAAGGTGTTGGTGATGACCTATAAAGCCCTAAATGGCTTGGGTCCTGGTTACCTGAAGGAGCGCTTACATCCATATATGCCCGCCCGCCCCCTGAGATCTGCAGGAGAGGCCCTTCTCCGGGAACCCTCCGTGAAGGAAATTAGGAGGGTAGGTACTCGGAGGAGGGCTTTCTCTGAGGTGGCGCCCAATCTATGGAATGCGCTCCACAGAGAGGTCCGCCTGGCGCAGTCGTTATTTGTTTTTCGGTGCCAGGCGAAGACCTTTTTATTCAAATGTCATTTTAATTGCTAATATTATTTCCTTATCTTATTCTGTGGCCAGGGTGACTTATTTTAGATTGTAAATTCGTTCTATATGTTCAATGTATTATATTTTAATTTTTTGTGAGCCGCCCCGAGGCTTCGGCGAATGGGGCAGCATAGAAATTTTCTAAATAAATAAATAAACAAACAAACTGGTACAGAATTCAGCTGCTAGAATTTTGATCCGTTTGCCCAAGTGCAATCACATTACATCAGTTCTGAAATAGCAACACTGGCTGCCTATTTACTAGCGAGCCTAATTCAAGGTGCTAGCGCTTACTGCTAAAGCCACAGACAGCCTGGAGCCCAAATATCTGAACAAGTGCCTCCACCCATACCAACCTGCTACTTAAACAAGGCCAGGACTGAGGATCCTTGCTACCAACACCACATAATTTCTGGAATCATATTGCGCAATGGTGTAGTATAATAGTCGGTGCTGGATATAGTAAATATTATAAAATGGAATGCAAGAGATTAAGGGCCAATTCACTTAGTCCTAAAAAAATAATTGGGATCAGGACACCTGAGAGGCTGTCTTTTCCCTTATCCATCTGCCCAGTTACTGGGTTCATTGGAGGACATTTTCATGATGGTTCCACAAAAGCTACCAGGAAAAGAGCCTTCACTGCAGTGGCTCCACTTCTACAGAACTCCCTGCCTCTGGAGGTCAGGCAGGCTCCAACACTGTTGTTTTCTGTACCTGGCGAAGATACCTTGGTTCTGGGAAGCTCTCCTTGCTAACCAGCCAAAGATTCAATATCGTGCTTTTAAATATTGTCTCTCTTCATCTGTTTTATTTTATTCTTCACTGCAGCAGAATCTGTCTAGACATGGAGTGCTGTACAAATATTGAAAATAAATGTATATACAGATACATGTTAGAGATGTTTCTGTATAACACAATATAGGGGAAGATAGAAGGTTGGACTGCATGACCACTAAGTCTTTTCTTCCACCATTCCGTCTACCTGTGCTGCTGGTAAAAAATATCTCTATATCTCAATTCCGCTTCTGGGTATGATTCATTCTGCAAACATGCTGCACCTGCACCGCCATATCTAAGTCAGTCTATTGGTTTCCAATAATCCAATTCCACCTTAAGTGGTGCACTGAAGTCTGTTGACAGACTGGGCCTGACGCCTCTGTGACATGACAACAGATGTAGTTCATCCTCCCAGCCTGACAAAAGCACAAACCTGAATCCAAAGATGGCTTCCAACTCCTCTTTCAGCAGTTTAAGAAGATCAAGCACTCCAGCAGGAGTTCCTTATGGGAGTGGTAAAGCAAAGGAATCTGAACAACAAACTCATGTGAAATTCCTCAGGCAGTCAGAGGGTGTGGTTAACACACACACACACACACATTTCTGTTTGTGGCAACACCTTGTATAGGTGTGCTGGACAAGCGCCATCTCAGTTCACCAGCAAGTTTATTTAACTTGCTCTAAAGAATTTTAAAAGGTTGCTGGCCTTTTTTCATGCGTAGAAACGACAAGCAATCAGATTGTCATGCTGACTATTATGACTGCATGTTCAGTGACTAAGACAGGAAAACCAAGGCATGTTCACAGAGAGCAAAAAGTCCTACAAGTCCCAGCATGCACCAGCAAAGCCATGCTGGTGGGGGATGCTGGGACTTGTAGGACTTTCTTCCTGTCTAAATTGAAAGAGGATTGTAGCCAGAACAACCTGTCTGCAGTGCAAAATCCTCATCAGAGACCAGATCTGATTAGCTAGTAAGGCATCCACGCAACTCTAAGAAGAAAACTTTGTTCGCTGGAAATACTCTAGAACAGGGCAGGGCGACAACAATAGAACAATTCGCATGACACTGATAAGCTTGATGGCCTATAATATAGGCATTATGAGCAAGTTCCCAGATTTCTTCCATAACTAAACACTCCCCAGATATTTGTAACATGCAAAATTTGCACACTTGTACTTATTGTCCATAGCCAATGCTCAAAGAAAGATGTGCCTCTGCAGAATGTGGACCTTCTTGGTGAGAACTTGGAAAATTCCTCCAAGCTTCCTCTCTCTCCATGGTGATGCTTTGGAGGCCTTCCCTCTCTCTCCTTCCATTTCCTTCCTCTCTATGGTACTATTTTCCACAGTTATTTTTAAAAATTAATAGGTTGCCTTGCAGATCGTTTGTAACTACAGGTTGTTCATAACTTGAGCATTTGTAACTTGGGAAACACCTGTGTATATACAGATACATACTTACAATGTACAGCCAAAATGTTGTCTTGATATCGTCAAGGCATTTTTCTTCAGGAAGATGGGAAACAGTGGTTTTTACCTTTTACAAATAAGTTCTCCAGAAAAACATTTAAGTTTACTTAGTGAGAAATTCACCTCCAACAAAGAACATGTGATGAAGTTGTAGAGTGAACAGGAAGTATGAAAACCTCACGCTTCCTGTTCTTCAACAAGGATCTACTTGAAATAATTCTCCATCCCTCTTGCCTAGGAGATCAGCACATACCTGATGCAAAGATGCCCTATAAATCTACCAGGCAGGAGAGAGAGGAATGTTTATTCCAGAAAAGACAGAAATGCAAAGAAATAGGAAGCATGAGGCTCTTGTCTTTCCTTTTCATGGCACTGTCCAGGCCAAAACCACTGCATAAAGTGGAACTAGGTGTCCATACAATCCACACTGACAAAATGGGGATCGATGGTCGGATGGTCTAACTTGGTACCAGCAGCTTCTCCCAGCAACTTGACATGAATTGTGCTTTTTAAAAACAATACCTGAACTTGACAGCATTCATCAGAGGAGTAGCTCCCAATCGGTCTTTTGCATACACAGTTGCACCAGATTGCAGCAGATGCCTGACCATCTCCAAGTTACCCTCACAGCACGCAATGTGCAGTGGGGTGCGGCCATCATAATCCCCAGAGCTCAAATTTCCACCCTGCAATAAAATAAGTTCCTTCAGAAGAAAAAAATCAATCATGCATCTAAAGTAAGTCTCACACGAGGAGGGCCTTCTCTGCGGTGACGCCCCGCCTATGGAATGTGCTCCAGGGAGAGGTCCGCCTGGCGCCATCGTCATTTGTTTTTCGGCACCAGGTTAAGACCTTTTTATTCCAACAATATTTTAATAACTTTTAATATTGGTGTATATATGTTTTTAATCTACAGCCAGGGTGGATCTGAAATACATTTGTATTATGTTTTTGTATTATTTTATTTATTTATGTAAGCCGTACTGAGGCCTTCACGACAGGACGGCATATAAATATTCTAAATAAATAAATAATAAATAAAATTGTATCACTTTTCATTGAGCTCAGTATAGCCAAAAAAGCAGCCCCTCCCTGCTTATGATCTCCAAGATTAATGGAAGGCCCATTTTTGAAGTTACTTTCTACATGCTAATCCAGGAAAATTGCAGTATTTTTATTTTTTATTTATTTATTTATTTTTATTAAAACATTTTTATGCCGCCCCATATGCCTTGGGGCGGCTTACAACAATAAGTTAAAAATAAATAACATTAAATTAAAAATATAAACATCAAAATTAAAAATACAAAAATAACAATATAAAATAAGCCGCCCTGCCCAGATAAAATCCAATAATCCAGTATGGAGAAAGCCTCTGTCAGAGGAATCTTCTTCAGACCTTAGTGAATGTGTGGAGGGGAAGCATTAAGGTTGGGGTTGCAGTGCACACAACCACTCACCTCTTACTCATAATGAACTCTGAAAAGGGCCCTCAGTTGCGTATGTACAGATGTGTGCACACAAGACTTCACACACACACAGCGTTCCTTGCTTTTATGGGGTCCGTTGCACATTGACAGACACCTACAGCTGTAGAGATCTTATGAAAAACTGGGACTCGGGAAAATGTGATCCTGTTCTTCTCCTTGCTTTCATTTAAGCAAGCCCTTTACTGATGGACATTACATCAGATAACAATCTGATAAGTCCCTAAAAGGTAAAGGTAAAGGTTTCCCCTGGACGTTAAGTCCAGCCATGCCTGACTCTAGGGGGCGGTGCTCATCTCCGTTTCCTGGCCGAGGGAGCCAGCGTTGTCCGCAGACAGTCTCTGTGGTCATGTGGCCGGCAGGACTAACCACCGAAGTGCATGGAACGCTGTTACCTGCCCACCGAAGTGGCGCCTTTTTATCTACTTGCATTTGCATGCTTTCGAGCTGCAAGGTTGGCAGGAGCTGGGACGGAGCAACGGGAACTCACCCCGTTGTGCAGATTCGAACCAGTGACCTTTTGATCAACCAGCCCAGCAGCACAGCGGTTTAAACCACTGCGCCACCTGCAGTCCCGATAAGTCCCTACCAATATCCAAAAGCAAAAGGACGGTGATCACTTTCCTAAGGTGAACGTAAAGTCATGAGCAAGGTTTGGACTTCACCAGAATGATTCTGCAGGGTGGATTTTAAGCAAAAAGATGTGACGGGGCTGTGAGCAATAGAGGGAAAAGTCTGCAGTCGTCCAAGTCTTAAAATGATGTGGAGGAAGCACTATGCAGATATAATGAGGTTGATAAACCAACAACAGTGCACAATAAGATCTCTTGGGGGGGGGGGAAGGACAGCTGTGCTCCCTTTGAAAATATAGGGGTTGACAGTCATTCAAGACTGTTTCTAGTTTTAATCTGTTGTACCTTTTGGAGTGTTTCAAATGCATCAAAATCACTCCCTGCAATTGTTTTTCGCTATTGAAAGACTGCTTGGAGTTTTTTATTCTCCTTCTGCTACTTCAGAAAATATCCAAAATGCACTTGGGATGCCCACAGCGGGTGGGGCTTGTGCATCCTCAAGATATGTCTGATTGTTCAAAATATACCAAAGAGGGGGATTTTACCATGTTCTGTAAGGCTTTTAGGGTATCCAAGTCACCATTTTTTGCAGCCACACAAGCCAAAGGAGGAATCAAAGCATCCCGAACAGCTGATAGTTCCTGAGGAAACAAAATGAATGATTAGTGACACACATACACACTTCACGGCTTCCTTTCTAATCCTGCCTTCGCGGTTTGATTTTGCTTGCAAGAAGACACTTATGTTGAAGCACCTGCTATAAAACACCTGCTCTCTTGTTCTGGCCCGCAGTGGTCTGTGGTACGCATGTTCTGCAACAAGAGTTTCAGCTGCATGGCCTTTTTTATCCCTTCCAGTTTGAGGAGAACATGGGTCCTCTCTCCTGTAGTCCAGTTATCAAATGCAGTTGCTTCTGCAATACTTAAAGGTTAATTGGAGCGATTTTGCTTTAACCTGTCTTGAATGCACATGAAATGGCATTTTTAATATGTTACCTTTTAAAAATAAAAAATACATGAACTTAGGGACCTTGAAATATTTACTAGTTTGTTTGTTTCGAATTCTTGTATGCCGCTCCATTTGCATAAGCCTCGGGGCGGCTTCCAACAAATAAGTATCAATACAAATACATAAAAAACTGGAAACAACCTGGCATAATAATTTAAAACCAATAAATAAATCAGCAATCAATTAAAATAACGTTTAAATAAAAAGGTCTTGGCCTGGCGCCGAAAAACAAATAACGACGGCACCAGGCAGACCTCTCTGGGAAGCACATTCTATAATTGGGGTGCCACCGCAGAGAAGGCCCTCCTCTGGGTACTCACCCTCCTAATATCTTTCATGGAGGGTTCCTGGAGGAGGGCCTCTGCCGCCGATCTCAAGGGGCGGGAAGGCAAATATGGACATAGGCGCTCCTTTAGATAAATAGTGAAAAATTATTTTACACTCATGGCCTGTGCAGATTAACCCCAGATTTTAAAAACATTCTTCTTTGCTGGATTCTATCCAATCTTGGTCAAGGGGACTTCCATTCATTCACTGGGGGTTGGTTTCCCTTTCCTTTTCAGAGAAACACAGAAACAGAGCGAGTCAGAAGGGGCCTCCTGGGCCATCTAGGCTGACCCCTGGTCTCAGCCGGCTCTGCTCATGACATGCCTATCATGTGCATGCCCAGCCTATCTTAAACACCCTCACTGATGGGGCTTCAACCACCTCCCATGGAAGCCCATTCCATACCCTCGGGGTCCTAACTGTCAGGAAGTACTTCTTGGCATTCAAATCGAACCTTGGTTCCTTGAGCTTGGTTCTGTTGGAGTGTGTCCTGCCCTCCTCCGCAGAGGAGAACAGGTCTTTTCCACCTCCATGTGACATTCCCTCACATACCTATATGTTGCCAACAGATCCCCTTGGAGTCTCCTCTCCTCCAGGCTGAAAAGACCCAGTTCTCTCAGTTTCACCTCATACAGCTTCCCCTGCAATCCGGCCACCATCCTTGTGGCCCTACGCTGCATGGACTCTAACCTAGGTATATCTTTCTTGTAATGTGGCACCCAGAACTGAACTCAGTACTCCATTTGCAGGCACACCAGAGTCGTACCGAGTGGCAGTCTATCAATCTAGAAGCTGTGCTTCTGGCCATGCATCCAAAGGTGGCATTCACCCTCTTAATGGCCATGTCCCACTGCTGGCTCATGTTTAGCCTGCAGTCAACCAGTACCCCAAGATCCCTTTCACAAGTGCTGCTTTCCAGCCACTTGTCCCCTAACCTGTACTTATGACACCCATTCCTATGCCCCAAGTGCAAGATCTTGCACTTATCTGCATTGAATGCCATCCTGTTGCCCCCTGCCCACTTCCATGATCCGTCCACATCCTTTTGGATCTGGAATACCTGCTCCTCAGTTGTGGCCACTGTTCCCGTTTTAGTATCATCTGCGAATTTGATCAGCAGACTGGTCATTCCCTCTTCCAGATCATTGATGAAAAGACTGAACAGGATCAGTCCCAGGACAGAGCCCTGGGGGAGCCTGCTCATTACTGGCTGCCATCCTGATGATTCCCCACTCCCTTGCAGTCTCTCAAACCTACTCCATAACTGTTCTGCAAATGTTCCTTTGCAGGAGGTTTGGGAGGGTTTGCAAGGGGGAGGGAAAGCAAACACATCTGGATACAAACCTTTAACTTTTGCAATAGGGTTTTTGCTTAAACAAGTCTCATTTTGAACAAGTACCTCCTTGGAGCTGATGCAGAGATATTTTGCAATCTCCTGGATAAACTTGCTATTTTGGAGGGTGGTCTGGGTTTTGATGGGCACAACAGTCATCTCTCCTCTCAGATTCTCACTCAGCATCTGAAGGAGACAAAAAGAAAGAGAAAAGCAAACTGAGAATCAAATAAGAGAATCCAAAGTTGACAAGACCTGAATAGGCTTTCATTCTGTGAATGTGAATGTGTGTGTGCGGCAGTTTCAAAAGAAGTCAACTACAAACCATGGTTTATGATACTGGCTTGTTAATCTAACCAGACTTTGTTCTAAACCATGATTTCTGGTTTGTATGCAAAAACAAGCTGAGATTCCATAGAAGTGAAACTGAATGCAGCAGATGAGAACCGTCAGTGCCAGGGCCTGAAATTTTCCTAGCCTCATTCCAGCTTGGTCCACATAGTGGAATGGCTAAATTAGACCACAAGATGAACAATCAAACAACGTCACTGAATATTTTATTAATGTAGATTTATTAAAGGTTTGAGTAATCAAATCTTGCATACGGCAGAAGACTCCTGAAATTGCTATTTTGTGTAGGAGTTCCAAAAAAATGTTTTTTAGAAAAATCCACAGAGGCCTCTTTGTGATATTAGCTTCTTTGCAGTAGGTAAACAAAAGTTTCAAGCTTCCCCCCACCCTAAAATAATTTTCTAGTGTAAAAATCCCACGAGTCTCATATTGTACAGGCCAATCTAGAATTAGAGTTCTTGTCTTGTAAAAAGATCCTATATGCCAATACACATTCAATTTTATGTAAACCTTACTTTGAAGATTAGCTCCTGTGAAACTGGTGGCAGTTCTAAATACAGTATTAACTCCATAACAGATTCATTATTGGTTTTATATCACTTTAGCAGTCCTTAAAAAACAGGAATTGTGGTTAGGTTGGTGGAGCTGCTAGAACTGAGGAGGCCTTGGACTAGACGCTTTCACCTTGTGCATCTTGGGTGCTCTGCAGACCAAGCTTCTTCCCTGTCCCCGGATGGCCCTGGCTTTCTGCCACTGACACTGCAATGACCCTCTCTCTTAAGAATCTAAGAACCACACTGGATCAGACTAAGGTCTATCTTCTCCAGTCCACAGAAAGCCTACAACACCCATAGATGCCCACAGAAAACCTACAAACAAGCCCATAAACAAAACACAAGTTCCCCAGCAACTGAAGTTCATAGTCGTACTACCACAAGGAAAACATGCAGCCATCAGGACTAGTAGCCATCAAAAGTCTTCTCCTTTATGAATTTGCCCAATCCCTTTTTAAAGCCATCCGAATTGATGGCCACATAGTAAGGAGCAGAAAGGAAAACAGTGGGTTGGATCGCTCGCCATTCTTTTGAAAAAGGGAACTTTTTACACAGCCTGTCCAGCATGGTTGGAAGACCAGCCATGTCTTTGTAAAAAGATGGGAGAGTTAAAGGAAGAAGAAAGAACCAGCCATTCCCAACTCCTGGTGGCCTTTGCACCCCATGCACATTCCCTCTTCCCCATCTTCATGGGTGACAGTGCTAACACTTTATCTCCTTTAGAACGGGGGAGGGGGGTTGTTTTGTGGAATCAACACCCAGTTGCTCTGACTACCTTCATTTTCCTGGCATGCCTCTGGACCCACATGGGCCCATGAACACTCTGTGGAGATAAAGGTAGCAGATACAACTGAATCTTGGCTCTGCGTCGCATCCAATCTCTTCTGTATGGGATCTGATGGGATCTGAGTTGCCAGTGACAAGAAAGGGATTTGGGGGTTTTGGTTGATAACTTATGAAAAAGTCAACCAAGTATGCAGTTGCTGGGGGAAAGGCAAACTCCATTTTCAGGAAAAACATTGGAAATAAAACTACCAAGATCGTTCTGCCCTTATACAAATCTATGGTGTGATTGCACTAGAGTACTGCAGAAATTTCTGGTCACTGCACCTAAAAAGTGCCTTGCAGAGATGGAAAAAGTTCAAAGAACAGCAACAAAAATGATCAACAAGTTGGATTCACTCTCCCATGAGGAACAGGTTCAACAGCTGAGACTGTTTACTTTAGAAAAAAAGGTGTAAAGGGATAAATGATAGAGGTATACAGAATTAGGCATGGGGTGGAGAAAGTGAAGAGGGACATATTTTTCCCTCTCCCATAATATTAGAACCCAGAGTCATCCCATGAAGGTGATTGGTGGGAGATTCAGGTCAGATCAAAGGAATTCACACAACACGTGATTAAACTATGGAATTCATTGCCACAAGAATTAGGATGGCCACCAATTTGGATGGCCTTCAAAGGGGACTGGACAAATTCATGGAGGAGAAGGCTACCAAGAGTTGGCTGGGGAACATGGGCAGGACAGTTCTGTTGTATTCATATCCTGCTCGTGGGATCCCATGGACAGCAGGCTGGCTATTGTGCATGCTGGACTGGATGGGCCCTCGGTCTGATCCTGCACAGCTCATCAGCTGATCCTCAGAAAGGAAACAAGTGGCTGATGGAGGCCCTCGAGGCTGCAGGTGCCAGACCAGAGCCTCACGGGCTGGCCCTGCTGGGATCACTGATGTTCGGTCCGGCGATTCGCAGGGGTCTCTTGGGTGCTCGAGAAAGCATGGCAAGAGGTGTGTCCAAACCCTGGTGGTCCTGGGGCTGTGCAGGGCGCCCCGTTTCCCAAAGAACAATGGCCTGCCCTGCTGCACTCCTGCACTTTTGCACATGCACATGATGGGTCTCTCTGGACTTTGGCCTTCCTCGCTTCTGCCCTGCGCATCTGCTCCGTTACTCGAGAGAGTCTGGGAATACAGATCTCCAGTGATAGCCATCTGGAAACGTGGCTGTACAAAGTTAAAGAAAGTGAGGAGTACTGTGGAAAAAAAAACTAAAGCAGGTTTCATTTTGTTTAGGCATGCCTTAAAAACAAAGCGGAAAAAGAAAACATTGCAGGTGTGCAAACTGGGAGTGTTTCATTGCTCTTTTCTAGCGGAGGTTTGAGGCTGGTTTGCTGCGGAGAGGCATGTTCCCACATAGTAGGGAAAGTTGCATGCAGTCACCCCTCCCGACACACACACACACACACACACACACTTGATGTTTCAGTCCAAGTGCAGTTATTCTTTAGCAGTAATTCTGCATCTAGTTACTATGAGGAAGAAATCATACTCTTAACTTAGATTTCATTTTTGCAGTTTAATCTAAAATACAGCAGCAGCTGAGCGTCATTGGGTCAGGGGTGGGGGTGGAGGTGGTGATGGGATTCCAGGTGGTGGTCCAAAGCTCATCCAGTTATCATCAGGCACACAGAATCTGTAAACAGCACATACAAGTCCTTCCCAGAATTCAACTGGACAGTAAAGGGAATGGTAAGATAACCTCGAGGTTAATACTTTTGATGCAGCACGTAAGGATGTACAAAGGTCTGTGCACTTAAGTACCTTCTCTGCCTCCCACATTCTTGGCTTTGGACAAAAGCACCAAACTGAGAACACCTGAGACATTCTCCCCACCCACCACGCCGCAATGAGGTCATATGCTGGAGATTCCAGCATTAAGATTGCCATTTCTCCCATTAGCGGGAGACGCAGAACCAGCAGATGACACAGTGGTCAAGCTTGTATGTCACTCCAAGACACCCTGCAAATAGCTACACCGTGTGGGTTGTTTGTGGACCATCCATGATGCACCTAACAGATGACCAGGCTCACCATGGTTATCCTCCCTTTCTTCTCCCACAGTCCTCCCACTCACTCGGGCATGTATCCCAGGTGCCTACGCAAAGAAGGTCCACATCCCAGGATCCTTGTTCATCAGTCGCCTTACTTCAAGGCTAGACCTATGGTCCCAGTGGTGAGCAACTTGGAAGGGGTATCACTACATTGGATGGATAAATCATCGTCTCCTATAATGCCCACAGGCTGATGAATTTCCATGATTCCTATACTTGAATAGGCGCTGTACAGACATCACAATCAAATGCACACTTGTTTAAATATTTTGCCTGCTTTTGTTGAAGTTTGCGTTTCATTGCTAGAAAGTTACATTTCCATGCATATGTTTCATATGCTTTCTTTTTCTATGGATATATACAAATCTATGAATGCTTGTTAACAAAGACTGGGGGAAAGACCTTGCCTGGGATAGGGGCACCTGCAAAACCCACAAGCCACGCCCCTCCCCTGCCAACACAAGTGGCCAGGTGCTCAGAGGTTCAGGAACTGAGGATTCCCTGCTTGTCCTGTTTCCCTGTTTCCATTTCTGTAGAGGGACGAGTACACAAGGAACAACTACATCTTTGATACAGTAAAAAGAAAACCACTTTCATAGGAAGTCCAGAGCCAGGATCCAAGGAGTTGGTTCAGGTGACCCAAGGCAGCCTCCCCCAACCTGGTGCTGACCATTAGACATGCCAGGTGGGCTTCACAGGAGTTGTAGCCCAATCCTTCTGGGGAACCCCTGGATGAAGAAAGTTGCCCTGTGGTTAAGGTTCCTTTTTAATTTCTTTTACCCGGAAGAGCAGCCCTTCTCCCCGGAGCAAAACAAAAGCTGCTCCCCTCTCTTTGCTATGTTCCTTGGAGAGGTCTTCCAGGTTGCAGTAGGGGAAGCATGTATCCAGGCCTGCCTACCTTGGCACACAAAACCAGTCAGGCTGCGGTGACTGTGCATCAAAAGAAAGGCCCTGTCCAGAAGCCCTAACAAGAAATAAAAATGACACTTTTCAGAAGGCCAGAACATTTCACCTTTCTCTTTTCGTTCATGGTAAGTCCGGGTTTGCTCAAGACGTAGGAGAGCTTGGCCAGGGCGGCTTCTGGTGTCATATCTGCCCCTGGGATCACGCCTGCATCCCTGAGAGTCTGCAATTAATAAAGAAAATGCAGCTTGACTGACCAGTGAATTGTTTCGCAAGCGAAGCATGATGTTTGTTCTATTCCCATGCTTATAACATTGCTATAATAACCAATAGGCAAATACAGCATGATAACCCGTAACATCATTTTCTAAAAATAATATTAAAACCAGTTATGAAACCAAAAAGCCCAGCAGCAGCACCAATATTACTAAAAAACAGTAATAATTAAAACTGGTGAAATAAAGAGATGACACACAATTTGGTAAAATAAAAAGGTGCCACCAAAAAGACCACAGTGTGGGTGAGCTTATCTGTGATGGGTGCTCCACAGCCAGGTCCACAACGGAAAAGGCCCTACCCTTAGTAACGACCCACCTCGTCTCACTAGGAGGTAAGCCTCTGAAGATTCTCTTAGGCTCTGGGTAAGTGTCTTTGGGAAGAGATGAATCTATAAGTAATCTGGTCCTATGCCATGGTTACAAAATGTAAGCCCATCACTTTGTATTAGGCCCAGAAACAGAATGGAAGCCAGTGCACATTCTAGAGCAGTGAAGTACAACCCTTTTCAGAAGCAAGGATGGGCTGCAGCAGATAGAAATGTTTTGCAAAAATGAAAATGAAAAATATGCACCTTCCCATGCATGAATGGAATGGCTTGCTGCTAGTGCTAATCGAACAATGGATAAACCCAATTAACATCATCATTATGATGATCATTACTACTTCTAAAGTGCCTTGATGTTGCAAGCGTGTGAGATTCTCTGGGGCAAAAATTGATGCTGAAGTGACAGAATTCAAATCTTAATGTTCTTTTGAGTGATACTGTAACATTTATTTGAAGCATTGTGAACTATTCTGATCAGAATCCTGTATTAACTTGTCTTTTCAAACAATGGAGTTTGTTTCTAAAAAGCAAAAAAGTGGACAAGAACTTTCCTGATGGTTCAATTTAGAATGCAATTCGCTTCTCGAATAATCCAATGGCGGAATTCAGTGCTGCTGACATGTCTCATATATTAGCCATGAACCAAGGATGCTTAAAGCTGAAACTATCCCTAAAAATATCAGGTTGATAAAACACACTTCTGTGTCACACAGGCGTACTCAAAAGGAAAGTTGGGAAACATCTCCCATTTGAGAGCACATTCAGTGTCAAACCCAGGTTTGCTTTCATGTAATGTGTGAAATGACCCATAGTTGGTTTGCCATATTGCCAACTCCTGGTTATGAAGGTCTGTAACTGGCACACTAGTACAGTACTGGGGGAATCCAGTACTGAGCTCCCTTTGCTGTCATAAGACAACCTGTGCAAACTTGAAAAGAAATTGCTTAAGCTGAAATCTTCCAACTATACATAGAATAGCCCTGTAGGCTACTTCACACAACTTATGAAGACGTGCCTTTGCTATTTCTAAAACGTGTCCTCTTGACTATAACAGTGGCAGACATTACAGCTTTTCTAGAGCAAATTTCCCAAAAGCATCTCCAAATTGGCTGAAAGAAATTCTATATCCCTCATTTAAATCATGGAAATTTCTCACCTTTCCTGTGGCGTAGGCTGAAGAAACAGTTCCTCGCAGGCACTGGGTACAGTTCAGAATCACCACATTGCGATCAGTTGCTTTCTTAAGCTCATCTAGCAAATCTGGACGATTATTGGGCGCATTCCCACTTCCATAGGTCTCAAGTACAACTCCTTCCATTGGACTCTGAAGGAATGCTTTCACCTGCACGAAAGAAAAGGTGTATATGCAGTTAGAGTTCAAAGGTCTGTGCCACAATTGGAATTCGGCTTCCCCTACAATTTTTTTTTCTTAAATACAAACCCAGATTATATGAATGTTATCTTCGACATGTATACCAATGGGCAAAAGAGTTGTCAAAGATAGGTTCTTGTACACACTGATATAATATTATGGGGTACAGCATGGAGAACAGTAGGGATCAAACCTTCTCTGCAAAGTTAGCAAGACAGAAAGGTAGTTACAAGATTGAATATACTGGCATGGACTATTTGATTTGCACCAGGATCCAAGATGGAAAAAGTACAAGCCAGAAGGACACAAGTCATCTGTCTATTTTGACTCCCCAAGATTAAACAATCTGCACGAATGGGGTAAACAGCGGTAGAGAGGAGAATTACAAAAATGATATATAGATCAAGAAGTCAGTTATTCACCGACATTCATCTGCACTCAGAACTGCAACAGACCCTGTGGTCATCTAATTCTTTTCCTTCTTTCTCCCCAGTGCTAATTAGTCTGGCTCATACAACACAGGAAACTAAGCTGGGAGAAGAGAGAAAACTAAAACACAAGGGAGAATATAATTGCCCCTTTGCTTGCTCTCCTGGCTTGCTACTTGCAGGAACCTTCTGCAGGTAGGGAGCATTGGAAATGCAATTCCCCCACCTGGAGTCTGAGAGCATCCAGTCCATTCAGCCACTTCAGAATTCTAACCTTTCGTCAGGGTTAACATTCTTCAAACCCCACCAAAGGGTAGGAAAGGTCCACTTTACTGGTGTTAGCCCAGGTGTGGAATGTCCTCCCCAAAGAAGCTCACTTGATGCCTACACTGTAATGAAGAACTCTTGGGGTCCTAGTATTGCTAGTTTGATACTGTCTCTGCAAAGCAGCATTGGAAGGGGGGCAATTTGCATCAGAAAAGGTACATCATTTTCTGATAAAGCCACATTTCCCCCCAAGGAAACCACAGGGCTGCAAGAGGGTCAGAAACAACCTTGCCTATTATAGCTGTTCTTCTCATCCTAACCGCAAATGATAAAAATTGTGGAAATGCCTCTCAACAGCATGAGATTCAAAAGCATCCTAAAATGCAGGTTTGACACATCTCTGGTTCTATCTCTTCCAAAGAGTGCCTGGTTTACTGCCCCCATCATGATTCTGAACATGAGAATTTCTTGGAAGCATCTCACATCTGAGCAAACACTGTGGGAGTGTTGACAACATGGAGTTAGCTCAGAGGAAAACAATGGCTCAGAAGCACTCTGGGAGCGGCTCGGTAATACCAATGTCTTTTTTTCATTCTCATTATATATAATCAGCACTCCCACACTTGAGTGTCATCATAGGTATGAGGCACTCGATGGAAGGACTGACCGTGGCAGCAGTAATTCCTGGGAAGATCCTCAACAGCCCGACGTTGCAGTTCATGTTGGTATGGATCTCAAATTTCTTGGTGGTATTGGCTCTCCAGATGGTCTCCCAGTTAACTGTGGAAACCAAACAAATATCTTTCACTGAAGATACATTCCTTCCCTCCCAGCTCAAAAGATTAAGAAGCGTTGAGATGACTCTTCTACACATCTCTCCATGAATGTTTACTCAGAAACTTGCCACTGTTTTCACTGTGGCTTATTCCCGGATAAGTGTCTGTAGGACTGCGACTATAAGCTTTGTTCAGTTGCTGATGAAGGTTGATGTTGTCTAATATTTATGCTGAAAACTCCTTGGGGCAGAGAACTGCCTTGCCTAACTTTGTAAAGCAGCATTTAAGCTGGCGGTGTGGTATAGGTATTAAGCAGAGGTGAGCTCATTCCTTCTGCTAAGAACTACAGGTTTGAGAATAATAAAAATGGACTATACATATGCACTTGTCAGTGCAATAGTAAAACCGAACATCTCTGCCTTTTGTCCTTTATAAAACCAAACTTCACTCACCCGGTAGTCTTCCAAAGTATTGCTCTATTTCTCCCAGCATGATACTGGGATTTGTACAAAAAACATGCAGGGAACCAGCTTGAGAAAGGCTGACCTTTTAAAACCCAAGGTGAGTCTTGCAATTTTTTTTAAAAGGAGAAAATATAAGTTATTCCATTTTTGTAATGGACAAATATGTATCTTAAAATTATTCAGTTGTACAACCATGCAAGTCCAATGGAAAGAGCAGCAGGTTTGTTTGCTTGTTTTTAAAATATTTTTAAATGCATGATTACAGATGCAGTGTATACCTCTGAAAGATTTCATGGATTCAGGACGTCAGAAGTTTGTTCTAGAAAGCATAGCCGATAAATCTCAATATCTGAGGAGAAATTTAGCAGGAGCAATTTATGTGAGCATGTGAACAATTACTAACAGGAGCTTCAACACAATTTCTCCTCTTAGCTTAACAATAAAAAAAATAGGGATACGTCAAGCCGTTTGGAATGTTTGATACATCTCCAGGAATTGACATGAGCATAAAATGGACCAGGCTGGATCAGGCCAAGCTCTATCTAGTCCAGCACTGTGTTTACACGAAGGCCAACCAGCTCTGCATGGGAAACCCACAAGCAGAACATGACTGTAACAGTACCCTCCTGCCCATGATCCCCAGCAGCTGGATATTGGAAGCAGCAGAGAACCATCAGGATTCATACCCACTGATGGCTTTTGTCTCCATGATTTTGTCTAATCCTTTTCCAGTGCTACCCACATTGGTACACTGTAAGCCGTCCTGAGAGGCCATGCATAAGGGACGGCATAGAACATTTTTAAATAAATAAAAAAAATGAAATCTTGTGGTAGCAGGAATGGTGGAGGAGCTCACCCCAACGAGAACTGAACAAGTCATCCATTTTTTTGCAAAGGTCCTACTTGCCACAACCACTACACAACACAAGCCACTAGATTTAAGAGCTTTGTGCTAGACTGGCATGAGCTAGACTGCCTCCTGTTTGAATCCCAGTTTCATATTAGAGAGCCAGTGTGGTGTAGCGGTTACGAATGCAGGACTGGGACACAGATGATCTGGGTTCTAGTCCCCACTCAGCCAAGGAGCCAACTGGGTGACTTTGGGCCAGTCACAGCCTCTCGGCCCAACCTACCTCACAGGGTTGTTGTTGTGGGGATAAGATGCAGGAGGAGAATGATGTAAGCTGCCTTGAGCCCTTTGTAGGAAAAAGGCAGGATATAAATCAAAAAATAAACAAACAAATAAAATATTATTCAGCAAGTGCCACCATGTTCATGTGCATCGTCAGGTGGGGTGCAGAGCTCAGCAAAGCCACCTTGCTTGGCACCAGCAACGCGGCCCATATTTCACACGTCTTTAACAGACAGATGTTGTTACTCATACCACTAATCATCTCCAGAGTTTATAATGCAGTTACTAGTGATTAAATAAAATGGCTATGATTCAATTAAGGGCGATTATATGTTGCAAGCCAGATGCCAGCTCTTTAACTAATAGTCACTCTTGAGTTCCATTACTAAAATGCCAAAACATTCATTATTAATTCTGGAAAAGCTCATGATCTATGCTTAGCAGACAATGGTGTGCAAATGATCTTAAAGACTGACAGGAAGCTGCACCCAACAAGATGTGCACAGATAGATGCTCTGACTGATGTAAGGTATAAGAAAGGGGTGCAGACACTCAAGCCCTCTGGGAGGGCAAACCTGGCCCTTTGGTGGTCCATAAAAGGCCATACCCCTTTGGTGGTCCATAAAAGGTCATACCCCTTCCTCTGACCCTACCCCTTTCCCCCAGCCATTCACCATTTGTTGAGTCCTCAACTTTTGTGCAGGTTGTTCCTCATTCTAAAAGGTTCTACTGCCATTTTAAAGGCCTAGTTACTGGCCTTAAGAAGTTATTTTAGATGAAATAAGCTCGTATTTTTGGTATCATTGCTCCATCCCATTCGTCTGTGGCACTGCCCCTCTTCCCTTTGCTCTTGCCAACCAATGAAACACAGCTCCCAAATTTCTTCAAAATGGATTACAGCCTTTGGCTGAAAAAAAAATCTGGCTTGATCCTTTTCATGCAAACAACTGTGAGCACATGCAAAATGCCTGAGGAGGAGTCTGAAGAAACTGGAGTTCTGCTTACATCCCATTCATTAAAAAAAACAAAAAACTTTACACTGAACCTAGAAGGCTAGTTCAAACAGTATAAATGACAGTCATGGCATGTACAATACTTCTGCAAATCATATATAATAAGATGAGATTTTTAGGGAATTGTCCCAAGTCAGAAACGTGTTTCACTGAAGCTAGAGGGGTGTATTTCTGGAAACCAGATGGAAATATTTGCAGGATCTAACCTGGGGGACTCAAATGTATTGAGTGATATGGCACTGTGTATCCCACCTCTTCTTTCATCACTGAAAGAGCGGGGTGGGGGGGAGGAACATGCCTCAGAAACCCGCTGGTGCATGGCAGACAAAACCACTGAAATTCTGGGAGGCTGCAGGTCAACAGCCTCCCTAACCCAGTCCTGCAGTTGGGCCTACACAATCCAATCACTGGCTTCCCCTGTTTCCCAATTGGTAGGTGCCACAAATCAGGCTTCCAACAGAAGGTTGCTACACCAGATGAAACTCTTCCTCCTCCATTCAATAAGCCCCACAAATCTTAATGCCACTGTTGGGATAATCACTAATGCACACTTGACTGCAATGGAGAAAACCAATCATGTATATCAGTCTTTGTCAGATAAAGGTTCGGCTGTGGTGGGGAGAGATGGAGTTGAAAACCAAAGATAAGTGACCGTATTTCATAAAAATGTCACAACAAGTTATCTTTGTTGCAGCAACTGAAGATTAGTTTGTTTTTGGCCTCAATCAATTCCTGCACAACCACTCTCTGAGAAGACTCTCTTTCAGAGTGGATGCTGTGAAGAAGAATTATTACCGTGTCTACCTTCGGAATATGTCCTACCTAGTTTGAGAAAATGTATGTGGGCACACACATTTACAACTCTGAAAAAGGCTCAGACATCATCTTTGAAATGACATGCATTGACACTGATCACTACAGGAAGCCTGTCAAAATTCAAAACAGGTCATTAAAGAAAGGTAACCAATTCTCTTAGAATCTGAGTTTCAGGAGGTGAGCCTGCTGAAAAATATTCCTTGCTGATTACATTAATTCTAGCAATAATATGAAAGGAGGGTGTTTTGCTACACAATATGAAAATTTGAACCCCAAACCCATCACTTAGAATCATAGAATAGTAGAGTTGGAGGAAGGGGCCATGAAGGCCATCGAGTCCAACCTCCTGCTGTTGCAGGAACTATGGATTTTCCCTAGAGCTCCTACTGCTTAACAATGTTCTGGAAGAATGTGGCAATTTACCTGGAAGGATTCTCTTTCCTCATACCTGTCCCTAGTAAAATACTGTCCCTGTTTCGGCTCTGTGGGATGCTGTCCCCACAAATCTCCGTTGGTGCATGCAGTGGTGCAGTAGAATCACCTTTTGAGGAGCTCCAAAAATTAAACCTGGGTAGGGGCAGAAGATGTCCGGTGAGCTGTAGAGCGTCCCTTGCCTTATGGATGGTACAATGATATCGGCCTTCCCAAATGTCTCCTTCCATATCAGCCTGCCCAAACCTTAAGATCATCTGCAGAGGTCCTTCTCTGAGAGCCCTCTTTGAAAGGGGAGAGAAGAGGTGTTACGAGGACAGTCTTTTCTGCTATAGCACCCTGCTTTTGGAACTTGCTGGCGCCAACGCTTTATTTGTTCCAGTGCCAGGCCAAAACCTTTTTATTTACCCAGTTTTAAAATTGTTAATCGGTATTTTAATTATTTTATAACACGTACTGGCACTAAGTAGTCTTTAATTGTTTTATTGATTTGTTTAAAATTTTCTTTGTGTAAATCATCATGAGATTTTTAATGAAGGTATAGAAAATTTTTAAATAAAGAAAAAGGGAATGGGTTAAAGGAAAATTATGGAGATTAAAAATGTAAGAAAATGTTTTCTAACAAAAGGCAGATGTCTCACTTAACATTAAACTATTGATTATTTATTTATTTATAAAATTTGTATGCCATCCAATTACTTACGTCTCTGGACGGCTTTGGATTCAAAGTCCAAAAGTGTCCAGTGACACATCATGTACATGGACTATGCATATTCATATCATTAATTTGGAAGGAATGGAAATTAGTCCTTTTAGCAAGCATGTTCTAGTCTGTGGTGGTGGGTCACTGTCTGGGTTCTTCATACTGCTTTCTGCAGCATAGTTTGGGCATGTTTGATATTCCTGGGAGATACTGACAAGTAACACAAGAATGCTTTGTTTTTTCAGAATATTGGGGGAATTTTCCTTTCCTCCCTTTCTTTCATGCGGATCCCAGTTTCATGGTGGGGATTTCAGCTTTAATATAAATAACAACAGCTGGTAAACTGATTTTTATTAGTCTATGTTTATTTTGTTATTTGGAAATGACATCTCTGAGGTCTCCAAGGGCATAATTTTTTGCAAGTTTAGACAGGAAAAGGCCTGC